TTTTCCTTTTTTTTTTTTTTTTTTTTTTTTCTGAGTCAGGGTCTTGCTAAGTAGCTAAATCACCACACTGGGCTCAAACTTGCAATTCTCTTGCCTCAGTCTCCCAGAGCACTAGGATTAGAGGCATGCAGTTTGCATATTTTATGTTCTGACTAAAAATGTGAACTCTAAAACACTGCCCATGTCTCATACTTTTGTTTCATCAACATGGACTTAAATGCAACACCTAGTAAGTAGTCACAAAGACTCTTCAAACAGACACTGACTTCGTTATTGGGAAACAGCAAAGTCAGGGGCGATATTAAAGCAACATCAAACATTATAAATGGCACCCACTCCACGGAATGGATTCTGTGCGCTGTGGCTTTTGAGCAAGCTCCTTTTGTGACAGCCACGGCACCTTTTGTTAAAGGACAGTGACAATCCAAGAGCACCTTGGAAACAAGAGCACCGAAGAATCTCGGGTCTGCACTGAGCCAGTGTAGAAATGTTTTACTACTGTAACAACTGGTGTAGCCTGAACAGTTATGCCAGCTCTCCAAAGAATGAAACAAGAGTAAATCATCCAGATTTAATTTTAAAACTCATGGTCACCACAAGTTCACATGTGACCCTGGATCTCAGTTGCCTCTTCAATAAGAAGTGGATGATACTCACCCATTCATGAGACTGACTTAAAGATAAGTTTGGGCCAGGGATTTAGCTCAGTGTTGCCGCCACCTGCCTCGCAAACGCAAAGACCCAAGTTCAATCCCCAGTACGGGGAAAAAAAATAAGATAAGTTTGATGTCTCGTATCAAATATATATCATCAGCCCTATAACTATCATTATTACCATTCATACTATTACTACAGAGATTGCAACAGACAGGTGCTAAATGGATGTCCTTAATGAGAACAGTTCAGGACCACCAGAAAAGAACTGCAACAACAGAGACACTCACGTCTCTACGTTGCTCTGACTCACATTCCAGTGTTGTCCATTCCTCATCTCTGTGAATTCTTTTCTGGCCAGGCCGTCCAGTTCAGTACCATTTGCCACTGCCTGTGGCTGGTGAACTGAATTCTTTTGTTTCACTGAAGTTAAATTAAAAATGCAACACTTGATTCAGATACTGAAAAACTTGGCAGTACCTTTGGAGCAACTAGAGTATGTTAATCTACTTTTTCAACCTTAGATCTTCTAAAATTAATTAATTAATTAATTTATTTATCTTTATTTTGGTACCAGGGATTGAACTTGAGTCCTTGAGCTTGCTAGCCAGGTGGCGGAACCACTGAGCTAAATCCCTGGCCCCTAAAATTTCAATAACAGATTAAGTATGTCTGATTAAATTATACCACCTGAATTGAAATTGAATACACTGAGTTTCTAAATTGTAATATAAAAAGAGACTGTAATCTCTCAGTAATTTGCTATATTGGTATTATGTTCAGAAAATAATTTGTATGCAGTGAGTTAAATAAAATGATATTAAAACTAACATTTAAGAAATTTCTTAAATGTGTAGAAAATTTAACATTACAACAAAGCTTGCATTACATTTCTGTTGGACATTGCTGATCTGGAGGATGTAAAAGGTTGTGCCTGGATCGCAAAGCCTTCCCAAGGCTCCTAGTTTTCCATAGCCACCTGCCCTCGTGATCCAATGTCTTTGTTTCCCAAGAAGTCTCTTCTTCACGTGCCCCAAAGAATATCCACCCATACCTAGACATTAGCCTCTGAAATCTTTCATCACTAGAAGTCTTTATGCTTTCCCCAAGAGCACAGAAGAAACCAAGACAAGATTGGGACCTGTGGCTAAAGAGCCGAGATGCTAACAGAACAAAAAAGAAACCGTATCTAAATCTTTCCTAGTCAACCCAGTCACACTGATCATCCAGCTTTGGTGTGGCAAGAATGATTACTCAGTCCTTCTCCAGGACTCCCTTGCAGTGGGGGCCAGGAATAATCCATTTTAACCCGCAAAGCAGCACACCCAACAACACTCAGAAAAACATGTTGAAGCCCATCTAAGAACAGAACAAGAAAATGTTTCCTTACATACATTTCTTGCGTCGTCCACAAAAATGCTGCTTTTGCCACCTTCGACGGTGGGATTCTGTCTCTGCACTCTGGGATGCAGGGGGAGTGTGACTTGGGGAGTGACCGGGGTAAGTCCGGCTGGGGCCAGGGTAGCCACTGTACCACTGGACCTTCTCCTCTGCTGTCCTCTTGTACAGTACATGGGGATGGTGGCCCACAGGGGTGCTGTAGTTGTGTTCCTGGGCCAGCAGCTGAGGTAACGGTGAGATGAGGAATTCATTTTTGTGTGTCCTTATGAGACCCGACTAGAAAGCCAAACACAGAGAGCACATTCAGGATTCCATGCAGCCCTTTTCCTGGGTTGATTTTCAGCAAACCTGCATTAACTATTTCCTGTGGGCAGGCACTGTATAAACTACGAGGTATGGTCAAGATATACCACGAATTTTTAAAAATTCATTGCAGTAAAAGATACATTCCTATAAATTCCCTTCACGATACTTCCTCTTGCTGTGAACACACTTATCCCATCGTCCTTGCTTTGTGAAGCAGTTCCGCAAGTTCTCTTTCCTGAGTGTCTTTCCCTGGCTAGCCTGATGTCCTGAATTTCAAATGTTTACGGCAATCTCTGTCAAATAAAAACATGACAGCACGTCCTCCTCTACTTTATTCAGCGGATCTGGCACCGTGTGACTTCTGGATCTTCTCAGAGTCAAAATAAAATGAAAGATAAACGTTCTGAATCGACTCAGGACATCAAGCCAGCCACGACAGCTCAACTGCAGACACTTAAGAAAGACCACTTCCAGGACTTCTTCCAGAAGTTTCAAGAATGGTGGAATAATTGTGTTGTGAGGGGAAGTATGATGAGGGGGATAATGGCAATGCTATAATAGCATTTTTTAAAAATATTGTATTTTTTACCATGCCCAATACTTTACATCTATCATTTCATTTTTATCTGTACCATCAAGGGTGGCCATCATTACTCCCATTTTACAGAGGCCAAAACTGAGCCTAGGTGAGAAACCAGTGTTGGCACTCTACCTTCTGAGCCATTGCTCTTCACAAAGAGGCTACAGATTGTGCCCGTTTTGGTGGTGCTGGGGATTGAACCCATGGCTTTACCTATGGAAAGCACACACTCTACCATTAAACTGTATGCTCAGCAAGGCCACCAATCTTGATCCATGTGCCTGAAGGTCCAAGCTATGGGATATTCCACTTACCTATGCCCGGCAGTAACTCATAAGCACTGGACCAAATAATAATACACAAACACCCCCACTCTAAAGGAGTCCACAGCCTGGGTAATGAAAATAAAAGCTTCCATCTTGATTTCATAAGTTCTAAATAAAAGTATCAATGGGGATGGCCAAGGAAGGAGGGATTATCCCTAATGAGTGGTCTGAGGAATCCAATGAGCTGCACTATTGCAAAGAGATATATTGCTTTGTCAAGGAGGAGGGAAGCCTGGCTAGCCCGGCGAGCCCACCCTGGTACAATTTCGCCTTTCACGTACATAGCACAACACAAATTGTGCCTGATTCTGAAGCCACAATGCACCCTTGACTTTCAGCACAGGCTACGCTATCTTCTCTGGGTGTCAGAGTTCCCTGGCTCCCAGTCTTCCTGTGGAGAGTGTGGTCTGCAGCCGGAACTTCAGTCTCACACTGGAGCTTGTTAGGCACACAAATCTTGGGTCTCACCTTACCCCCACTGAACCTGACTCTGCACGTGCCATTTGCACGCCAATTAACATCTGAGAAGCAGTGACATGGGCCAGTGATTCAACTTTGCTGAACATCAGTATCACATGGGCACCTTAAACAGAAGCACAGTCACAATGTCCCAAGTAAAACCCTAGACCATTAAAATCAAAACCACTTTCCACGTGACTGGTGTGTCTGCTTTTCTTTTTCTTTAACCACCCAGGCAATTATTACAATATACAAACAAGCCATGCACCAATGCATTAGCCCTTACCTTCATGAGCAAAGTGGGGATATTTCTTCCTGCCCTGATTACTTTACAAGGAGAGATGAAATAACCACTGCCGAAGTCCTTTATATACTCTAGACTGCAGCAATTTAGATGACTGATGATGATGATGAGTGACTAAATCTACAAATATTGAGGACCAGACAGGTGTCTGAAAACAGGCGCACAACCGTTCAGGAGAAACACACTGTGTGGTTTACTGTGAAAACAAAGGTGTGCAAGTCCACAACCACGGGGCTAAAAGCAGAGTGGAGTCTTGGGGCAGAGGCAGGTCACCAGGCAGTGCAGTGGCTACCTAAGACAACATGTGGGGTGGGCAGGGTGGGCAGGCAGTATCAGAGAATTCTGCTTCTCATCCCTAAAGGAAATCTCAGAACACAGGGGCTGGTCCTGATTTTCCTGCCACCTCACACACCTGGCACCCTCTGGGAGACTGTATTATGGACTATAGCACTCACACATATAGAATCTGGGCACCAATACAGATAGGCCCATTCCCCAAGCACATGCTGAACATCTAAAGCCTGGTCTTATTCTAGCTATCGGCATTAAAACACACACACACACACACTAAACAAAACAGTTCATAATCATGGAGATTATGAACAAAGAGAATCAGTAGGCAAGAGTTCAAAAAATTAAGTAAAATCCCACCATCCTAGAAATCCTGCCTTCCATATCTCCAGGATATACGCCGGAGGAGCCCACCCTGTCCCCAACACCCCAGTTGATCTCTCCAATCTGGTCTCCCCACATCAGCCAGATTTCTCACCCAAAACAATTTAAATCCTACCACGTGCTCTGGTATTAATCTCCGTCCTTGGACCCCAAGTTTCTGACCAATCTGTGGCCTGCAGACCCTGTTAGTCTTATCTGTCCCCCGTCTCTCCTCTTCATGCCATTTTAAACAGGACCCTGCTTTCACTCTTTAAATCCATCAAATCCTTGCACACACACTGGCTTTTACACACGCTTCCTCTCCCCCTGCATTTTTCCTGCTCCAGTCAACTTGCTGGGCTTTCTCGTGCTTAGGCTACGGCCTTAGCTTCAGCACCAAGTCTTCAGAGAAACAGTGCTCCTGGAACTAATCTTTCTGACTTCTGAATCATCTCACACCAGTTGGGTGGCTTCATGTCCCTCTCTGACAAGGAAACACGCGATGCAACCCTCCCACCATTCCCCTGACCTAGGACTTCCACGCACTCTGACAGCCAGGGCCACCCAGGCACCCCTGGTGCACATCGCAGATCATCAGCCAATGAACGTTTGCTTTTCAGGCTGCAGACATGTATCAGATGCAGGGCAGGCTGAGGGTTTGCCAGCATCAGGAGAGAAAACCAGAACTGGGAATCGAAAAGTTCCAGGCCGTGAGACAAAGGAACTCACAATACTTTACGAAAAACCTCACAACCAGGGACAAAAAGACTGAGTCAGAAGCACAGGGGAAACTCAGGTGCTCCTTTCCCTGAACAGGGCCTTCTCAACCACATCCTGCCACCCCCTTCCAAGCTGCAAGAGGACAAAAGACACCATTAAAAGCCCCCCACAGACAGAGTGTGTAGTTAAAGGGGAAAAGCATGAATTATCCTTGAAAGCCCTCCAGCCTTACTAACTTCCTTACGGGCTTCAAGGAATATCAAAGGCTTAGGCCACTTAAGTGCCTAGACTGGACTAACCGGTTTGGAAGCTTTCTATTCTTTTCCTGTTTAATGCTAACTACAGGCTACTTAAATGTATAGAAGAAATTTCTGTATTGAAAAAGCAGTAAAAGTTATCATTCTATATCGGGACAGTAACACTAGCTGCACATATAGCAGTGGAAAGTGTCAAGGACAAAAATCCAAAATACTTCTTAATAACAAAGTATGACTTGAACACCACTAGATATTAAGGAAGAAAAATACTCCTTTTCTGGCTTAACTCGATGAAAAATACTGAAATACAACCACATATATACATATAGCTTCAACCCAGTGTATACAAAAGGAGCCATCTGCTTATGTGTAACTTCCAGTTAACGGGAAAAGCAAAGATCAAAGAAGTAAACATCACAAATAAAAATGAAATACTCCTGTGTACACACAGTGTGAAGGAAAAGATCAGGGTAAGGGACCCAGAGGTGAAGACCCGGGGCTGCTATCCACCAGGTGCTGCCTAGAAAGACCTGCACACAGGCGATGGATGCCTTCCAAGTGCGCCAATCTTTCCCAATTTTAAATACAGAGAATTTATCACACAACTTGGCAAACTGAAAAATGAAGTGCATACTGACCACAAGTCATTATTCTACTTAGATATTCGGCCACTTGAGACTTTTAAAGGGGAGATAAGTGTGTCTTGTTAGCAATTGTTTCCTGTATTAGATTCCAAGGGCAAAAATAATTCTCAAAGATTTATACCCATTGGGTATAAATCACACTTTATGAAATTTCTATCAATTCATTCTCTGAAATATCCTACATTCAGGTCTTATTTCAATTTCACTGAAGTCCAAGAAATGCTGTTATTTCAGTCAAGACTGTCATAGTCTTCTAAAAAAACAATTTAGATTTAACAGGAAATAAGAAACTATGGATTCCATAAATTCCCGACTAATTTAGGGGTGGTATGAGCGCACAATTAATTTTAAAAAGTTTGTTGTGAACAGCTTGAAAAATCAATGAAAATTAGGAAGATATAAACTCTTCAAAGGTAGGGTACATGTCTTAGGCAACTTATATCCCAGGATTTATACCTATTAAATAATCAAAACATTAAATGACTTAAGGGGCTATTGTAATGATATGTGCTGCAATTAAACCAGAACTTCCAGCGGAATAATATATGTAAATCTTTAAAGATGAATCTTAAGAAGAAATGCTATAAAAGACCCCGTGGACAATATCATTACTGTTTTACTTTTAGGGTAAAACGTAAAGAAGAGATACAAGTAGCCCCCACCGACCAACTAGAAAAATACTGATAAAGACACACATATGTAGTCACTGATAATCAAATTTTCTCACTTTTAAATTTTCAACCTAACCACAGTAACTTGAAAAGGTGCAGTTAGTTCAGTCTAGATTGTTTTGCTTTTCTAAAAAAAACCACAGCCCAGAAGAATAAATGATTGGCTTGTTGCCCAGCATGTATAAGGACAACCCAAAGGAGAAGTCTCCACTCCAAATAAGTGAAAGGCTTTTGGAAGTGAAAGTCAACATGAACCAGAAATCCAGCATTCAGGCATGGTGGGTGGGGGAGGAGGGAAAGAAACATCAAAGAAATGAAAAACTAAAACGGAAAGGCTGAGAAACTGTCTCAGTGA